CACAACTGGAGCCCATTTCCTCTTGGCCTGTCCCTTGGGCCTTGGTTGAACAGCCCCCCCCCCACCTCTCTCCACCCTCCTCCAAGGGACTTGCACAGAGCCACAAGGTCTCCCCTCAGCCTCCTTTTCTCCAGGCTCAACACCCCCAGTTCCCTCAGCCACAAGGGAACTCAGCACACTTGTGCTCCAGACCCTTCCCCAGCTCCGTTGCCCTTCTCTGGACACGCTCCAGCACCTCCATGTCCTTCTTGGACTCAGGGGCCCAAAATTGAATCCCACCCTGACAGGCTTCCCTGCTGTTCGGTTTTTGCGCGTGCTGCACAAACTCTCCCGATCCTCTTAATGGATAAGTGTCTGCTGGGAGTAGGACTGTAAGAGAGCAGGGTGTCCCCTTGGTTGGGGTGTCACTGATCATGGGGAGTTGGAGGTGGAGTGTGAAGCTGATGTGCTCAACAAGCCTGTCTCCTTGCTTCTCCTGTGTAGGCTGGGACAGTGATCTGGATCGGAATCCTGGTTTACACGGATCCAGCTGGTCTCCGCACCTACCTCACGTCGCAGGTCACTGAACAAAGTCCTTTGGGTGAAGCAGGTCTGCCTCCCATGCCTGTTCCTGGAGGGGTCCTGCCTGCTGGGGACCCCAAGATTGATCTCTCAGTCTTCCCATCGGACCCTATCCAGCTGTCAGAAAACCAGACCCAGCAGCAGCAGCGTGAGCAGAAGTCAGGGCTGGAGTCCCTGAGCAGGCTGGAGACAAACCAGCACACTTGGGCCCACGGACCAGAGGGCAGAGGGAACGGACAGACGGAGCTTGGAGCTGAAGCAGAGGTGACCTGGGGAGCAGAGGATGAGGAGATTTGGAGGAAGCTTTCCTTCAGACACTGGCCATCCCTCTTCAGCTACTACAATATCACTCTGGCCAAAAGGCAAGTGGGCTTTGGGTGCTGCAGGTGCTTTGAATTGACTCCAAATGTTCTTTCTTTTGTCCTTCATCCTCCTCAGTTTGATAATTTCTGTTCCATGTGGCTCACTCCAAACGTGTCTTCAGGAGGAGACTGTTAAACAGGCCCTCCTGTGCGGTGCAGAGGTACCAAACTCTCCAGGAGTGTATGAGAATGAGGGTTGTTTCTCTCCGTGCTGTTGGCTGTATTCCTTGCTTCTTGTCTTCCTTCATCCTAGAGATTCCAGTTTTTGGAGGTGACATTTAGAAGTTTCTGAAACAATGTATGTTCATCCATAAATACTGGGCATGGTACATGTGAGGATTAGAAACATCTGAGCTGAAGAACCTTCTCAGTGAGATCGTCTGGCCTGCAGCGTACAGGAAGCCAGACCAGATCATGATATCCTTACTGAAATCTGTGTGATCTGTTTGATCTCATCACGAGTTCATTCCACTGTTGGCTCTTAACCTCTTCCACAGAGTTAAAGATAAGACTTGGGAAATCTCTTCAGAGAAAAATATTTCAAAGGAGGTTTTTAATTTAGAGTACCTGAAAGGACTGGACTGAAAGCTCATCCTGAGACCTACCTTGGCTGCTAGTGAGAAGATGGGCTGGGTAACCTACTAGGATTTTTGTACCTTTATTATTCTTAAACTAGTCTTATCTTTCTGTTCCTTCAGATACATCAGCATCCTCCCAGCCATCCCTGTCACGCTCTACCTGAACCCACAAGAGGCCTTAGAAGTGCGGCATCCCCAGGAGGCCAATCGCTACCACCCCTTCCTATCTTCCAGCGGGGGGAAGCTGGATGCTGAAACTCAGCCTGGCCAAACCTCATCCAAGCTGCAAGGACACCAGGATGTCACCCTTTACAAGTAAAAGAGTCCTTGATACAACCTTCTGACCATGCCTTGACTCCCCAGGGGACACGGGTGGCTCGTTGGCTCATCTCCTCGAGGGAAAAAAAGACAAAAAATACATTTTTAAAATACATTTAAATACATTTTCAGTGCAAAATCTGATAATGCTGGGGATGCTGTAGCTCAGCTGCCCAGCATCAAATCCATTTGGAAGATGAGCTGTGATGTATTTTAATTGGATGGTTTGGATGATGCTCAAACTGCTGCTCCTAGAGCCACACAAGGTTATTGCTGGGTAACAGGGGTAGGAGTTGGAATCACAGAATCCCAGACTGGTTTGGGTAGGAAGGGACCTTAAAGCTCCTCCAGTCCCAACCCCCCTGCCAGCAGCAGGGACACCTTCCACTAGACCAGGTTGCTCAAAGCCTCATCCAACCTGGCCTTGAACACTTCCAGGAAGGAGCAGCCACAGCTTCTCTGGCCAACCTGGGACACTGGCTCACCACCCTCACACCAAACAATTTCTTCCTCACATCTCAGCTCCAGCTCCCCTCTGCCACTTTCAAGCCATCACCCCTTGTTGTGTCACTCCCTGCCCTTGGCCAAAGTCCCTCCCCAGCATTTTTCTTAATGTTTTAATCACTATGTACTTTTCTTATTGAAAATGTTATAAATCTTGTAAAAAAAATGACAGTTTCCCATTAAAAAAAAATCTTTTAATTTTCCAGAAATCACTCTAGCTTGTTGGAAATTTTTCTCAGCTGAAACACTTAGACCAGCCACATGTGTCAGACTTGTGCAGTATTTTTAAAACTCTGTTTGTGTACCTGTAACTGGATGTTTTATCTCACCACCTGTTTGTTTTTGTGTCTGTCTCTCCTACCAGGGTGGCTGCTCTGGGTCTGGCCTCGGGCATTATCCTGGTCCTGCTGCTCTTCTGCCTGTACCGGGTGTTCTGCCCCAAGAACTACGGGCAGAACGGGCTCTCTCACAGCAGGAGGAAGAGGGGGGACCTGCCCTGCGACGATTATGGCTACTCCCCCCCTGAGACTGAGATTGTCCCCTTGGTTCTCCGGGGTCACCTCATGGTAGGTAGGACGGGTGCAGTCCTTATGGGAAAGGCACTGTGCTGACTTGCACCAGCAGCTGTCGTCCTCTTTGTTTTATTTAAATAACAAACAGCTCTCAACGAGGACAGAGCAGCTGTGCAGCCCTGGAGGTGACAGCCCTGGAGGTGACAGCCCTGGAGGTGACAGCCAGGGCCAAGGCTGTTTATGTGCAGTGTAGGATACTGCAGTGTAAAGTGTCACAGAGTCCCAGAACTGCCAAGATTGGAAAAGGCCTTTGAGATCATGGAGTCCAACCATGAACCCAACACTGACCAGTCCCCTATGACTAACCCATGTCCCTCAGCACTGTGTCTACACGACTCTTCAATCCCTCCAGGGATGGGGACTCCACCACTGCCCTGGGCAACCCCTTCCAATGCCTCAGAACCCTTGCAGCAAAGAAATTCTTCCTCACATCCCATCTCAACTGCCCTGGCCACAACTGGAGCCCATTTCCTCTTGGCCTGTCCCTTGGGCCTTGGTTGAACAGACCCACCCCCACCTCTCTCCACCCTCCTCCAAGGGACTTGCACAGAGCCACAAGGTCTCCCCTCAGCCTCCTTTTCTCCAGGCTCAACACCCCCAGTTCCCTCAGCCACAAGGGAACTCAGCACACTTGTGCTCCAGACGCTTCCCCAGTTCTGTTGCCCTTTATTTCCTGCAGGACTTTTCCATTTCTTCCTGGAACTTGCTCAGAGCCTTTTCCAAGTGCTGTTATTACCTTCTCTGTGTAGCCAGCTGTTGGCTTTTATTGCCTGGGCTGATCCAGCCTGCTTTGCCAGGTTAGCTCTAGATTCCTGATATTTAATGCCTCCTGGATCTTCTTTATTCTGCTTCCCAAAAATTAGTGCATAAGTTTGAGCTGTGAAATGCTGTCTCCAGTCCTAAGAGCGTCTGTGGGTTTGCACAGAAGGGTGCTGCTGCTCGGTTCACTCATTTTTCTTGAGGGTAAAGATAATTTCTTTCAGTTCCGAGATGAAACAAAGCACTTGGGCACCCAGTCAGATGGAATTTGAAATGCTGTGCTGTGTCTTCCAGAGAAGCTGCACCTCTGTGATCCTGCCATCACTTTGAGCCAGAGTTTGTCAGGAAAAAGGAAGACAGACAGAGTCTGCTTGGTTTGGAGTAGTCTAGTGCACAGTGAGGACTCTGTGAAGGATGTATGGATGTTTTCAGCGTGTCCCAAGGGTGCCAAGCCAGCCACGTGGTTTTAACATCAAATTTATCATCTTTATAGTTCCTCAGCCACACACAAGGTGATTGTCAGAGTCCAGAGGCCTCGGTGGTGCTACACACTCAGCTGTGCTTCTTCTTCCTTCCCAGGACATCGAATGTCTGGCGAGTGATGGGATGCTGCTCGTCAGCTGCTGCCTGGTGGGGCAGATCCGGGTGTGGGACGCTCAGACTGGCGACTGCCTGACTGTCATTCCCAAACCGAGGTACGTGGAGTCACAGAACCACAGGATCCCAGAACTGCCTGGGTTGGGAAAGCCCTTTGAGATAATGGAGTCCAACCATGAACCCAACACTGACCAGTCCCCTATGACTAACCCATGTCCCTCAGCACTGTGTCTACACGACTCTTCAATCCCTCCAGGGATGGGGACTCCACCACTGCCCTGGGCAACCCCTTCCAATGCCTCAGAACCCTTGCAGCAAAGAAATTCTTCCTCACATCCCATCTCAACTGCCCTGGCCACAACTGGAGCCCATTTCCTCTTGGCCTGTCCCTTGGGCCTTGGTCGAACAGACCCACCCCCACCTCTCTCCACCCTCCTGTCAGAGAGTTCATAGAATCTCCTGTTTGGAAAAGACCTTTGAGATCATTGAGTGCAACCATCCCTGTCCACTACTAAACCATATCTCTGAACACTCCATCTAGCCAAGAGAGAGAGTTGGAGAGAACAAGAAGGTCTAGTTGGAGAGGTCTCTCCTCATCTAGTTGGACAGAGCCAGGTCTCCCCTCAGCCTCCTTCTCTCCTTGCTCAACACCCCCAGTTCCCTCAGCCACAAGGGAAGTCAGCACACTTGTGCTCCAGACCCTTCCCCAGCTCCAGTCTCCATACACATCATTCAGCTGTGGGCAGGTTCCTCCCCAGTCACTGCTCAGCAGCTGGTACAAACCCCTCTGTGAGATACCAGAACCTCCCCCAGCAGAGCTGGGAGCAAGGACTGACCTTTCGTTGCTGTGTTTCAGGTTACGAAGAGACAGCAGCGGCGTCTTTGATTACCAGGAGGGTTGGGATCATAGTCCAGATGGCAAGAACGGTTTGGATGACTCCTTTGAGAACAGTCACCAGCTCAAGAGGGTGCTCAACCCTCCCCAGCCACCGCTGTTCTGTGACCAGCCAGACCTCACCTCTCTCATTGACACCAACTTCTCTGAGCAGGTGAAAGTGGCTGAGTCAGAGACACGGCTCCGCGCTGTCAGCGGTCGCCAGAAGGACAGTGGTTATGATTTCAGCAGCCTGGTTGGCAAAGTCTACGAAGAACACGGCACCTCCAACTGCATGAACTTCACTGGCCTCTCAGCCCCACACGGACAGGCTGGTTTCTGCGTGGGGAGCGGCGCTCCCCGCTCCCTGGGCTGTGGGGCTGAGGAGGGAGGAGGCTGCAGCAGCCGCAGAAGGAGCTTGGGGGATGAATCTTTTCTGGGATTTGATAAATCATCACCACTTCCTTCCTGGGGAGGAGACTCGGAGAGCTCAGTCTGGAGCTTGGACCTGCAGGGGAACCTGATCGTGGCTGGTCGGAGTAACGGGAAGCTGGAGGTGAGGAGAGAAGCTCCGTGCCAGCCCAGGCACCAGGCACACAGCCTCTCAGGGAGGGGGTTAGGACAGGTCCTGGGGGAGAACTTCCTCTACAGTGAAAATCTCAATATTTCATCTTAATTTGGTTTTAGAACAGAAGAGAAATTGCAGTGCAGTGTCTATTTCATCACCTACAATCGGTTTTTAAAGTATTCCAAACAGCTGCTCCTGTGATGGGTACTTTGCTTATCGTCTTCTCTGGTTCTTGAGTGTTGAAATATTTCCTTTCTAAGGAGCTTCTTAGCATAAGGAAAAACAAATTCTTCAGTTAGTGTGAAATAACAGCAGCTCTGAAGAAGTTAAAGATTAAAAAATGTTGCTGGTCAGTCAAAGAAATTAAGTTAAACGAATGGGAATTCTATGGGAATGATGTGGGGCTTGAAGCAAAATTTTAATCAGAAACTGAAATCTCCTCCAGTGAGAAACTCCCAGAATTAGTTTCACTTTCATTTCAATTTTTGGAAATTTAATTAGAATTTTTCCTTCCAAAGAATCACTGAATCACAGGATGTCAGGGATTGGAAGGGACCTCGAAAGATCATCCAGTCCAATCCCCCTGCTGGAGCAGGAACCTAAATGAGATCACACAGGAAGGCGTCCAGGCAGGTCTTGAATGTCTCCAGAGAAGGAGACTCCACCCCCTCCCTGGGCAGCCTGTCCCAGGGCTCTGTCACCCTCACTGTAAAGAAGTTTCTTCTCAAGTTTAAGCAGAACCTCCTGTGTTCCAGCTCACACCCATTGCCCCTTGTCCTACCATTGGGCATCACTGAGAAGAGCCTGGCTCCATCCTCCTGACATTCACCCTTTACATATTTATAAACATTAATGAGGTCACCCCTCAGTCTCCTCTTCTCCAAGCTAAAGAGCCCCAGCTGCCTCAGCCTTTCCTCAGCAGGGAGATGCTCCACTCCCTTCATCATCTTGGTGGCTCTGTGCTGGACTCTCTCCAGCAGTTCCCTGTCCTTCCTGAACTGTGGGGCCCAGAACTGGACACAATATTCCAGATGTGGCCTCACCAGGGCAGAGTAGAGGGGGAAATGCAGAGCTTTTATTTAAACAAACACATCAGCATTGGGTTCATGATTGGACTTGATGATCTTAAAGGGCTTTTCCAACCGAGGCCAGTCTGGGATTCTGGGAAAAATAATTCTGGGAAAATAATTCTGTTGTGTCATTTCTGCTGTTGAGCAGAAGGTTGGTCACCTGAGAACTTGCTGCTTCACTTTAAGCTGGATGGAAGGACACACGGGTGGTGTAGTCACTAGTGCCAGGTGAGACCTGTCTCCAGGCTCCTTCAGTGAGACTCAGGATAGAGCTTGGCTGTTCGGTGGATCAACAGCTCCTTGATGTTCACTGGTCTTCTGCTCAGCATCCCACCATTAACCCCTTCTCCTTCCAGGTTTGGGATGCCATCGAGGGCACCCTCCGCAGCAGTAACGAGGAAGGTCAGTCTGGCATCACAGCGCTCGTCTTCCTGAACAACAGGTAATTGGGTTTGTGCTGGGTGACCTCCTGCAAGGGGGGGAGAACGTGTGGTGGAGGCCAGGACACAGCCCTGACCCTCCTGCCACAGAGGTCACAGAAGCCCAGACTGGTTTGGGTGGGAAGGGACCTTA